CCTTCCAGCGGCTGCGCCTCGCCGGGAGCATTCCGGGGGGGCCCGGGTCATTCCGACTGGCCGCCAGAGGCCCGATTCATGGCCCAAAAACGACCAGGCGTCGAGGGGGGCGGTGAAAGCTGGGGCTGTGAGAGTATCATGGCCGAGGCCATGGTGTTTCCCTGGATGTCGTTGCCCCCTCGTCTTCCTCTTATGGCGCATGTCGTTCTCATTCCTACTAATAGTACTCTGTTTTAACACTGTGACTTGTATTGCGATTACTGGTATCATGTGAGCTCCACTGTATCATTAATAGTATTACTCGTATTAACGATATCATTGTTTGTCTCAACAGTAATAGCATTATTATCATGCGCATTGGTAGTTTTGTTTGAGTGTTCGTCTAACTCTTGAGGATGCGATTATTCGTACGAACCGAAGTGTTCTTAAGATGATGCATAGTGCTAATAGTAGTGTTGATGCTGGTACCTTTGTTGTTATTGGCACTACTAGAATAAGTATTGTTTGTATTATATGTAGTAGCAGTAGTAATGTTGATAGTATCAGTATGACTCGTACCAGTCTCATCGTTATTAATATTCGCAGCACTCGCATTATTCTCGTTACTAGTAGTGTGTTGATGTTCCGTATGATGTTATAGTCGTGCATTTGATCGCCTGGTTATGAGCACGATTCCTCTGACTAGCTTTAATGTTAGATAGCATTCGTGTTATCATTAGCATGGCTCTTCGTATTATGATTAGTAATACTACCCCTAGTGTTATCAGTAGATGAGTTCGTACTGTTGATATTAGTTTTGATGAGTATTGACAGTATGGTGGCTGCCCGTTATCTTCATATTGTCAGAATTATAATCTTCTTTTTCTCGCAGTGCTAGTACTGCTCGTTTGAGTCGTCTGCTTATTCTTCATCTTCTTTCGCGTTCCCTGGTCTCCCTCTCGGCCGCGCACCCACCTCAGGCCATTATTTGCGACCCCCCCTCGTGAACGCCCCCGACACCTCCTCCCGCCCCCTGAGGGTCGAAGTTCGAAGACATCGCGCCAAACGTTTGTCCTCGATCCCGGCCAATGCGGTGCCAGTTTCGGGTCCTGGGGGAAAAAAGGTCCAGGATGGCCCTCCGGCGGGTCCTGGGGAGCGACCATGAAAGGATTTCGAATTGGAGGATAGAGGATCGATGGTTTGGGACACGTCTTTAATTCTGATGAGCCTGAAGACAGGCGTCTCGTCGCCTCGGCTGGATTCGCTTCGAATTTCCGGCCAGAACACACCTCAGGAAAGAGTGGAAGAGAGAGTGAGCCTCAGAGAGGCGGAAGGAGACCCAAACAATTTACTGGGCACGATGGCTGACGATAGACCCCCGAGCCGTCAGTGCAGACGCGAAACGACCTGGTCTGATCAATTGAAGGTGTCCCATCGGCAAGTGCAGAGAGCCTTTTCAACGGCATGGCAAGGCGTATTGATTGATGGCGCGCCAGTCGATCTGCACCATCTCCCTAGGGTTGAAAGAGCGAGCTGGAATTGCCTGGACTGCCGACAAACTTGGCCGTCAGCATGGGCGGAACAAGATCCCAAACCTAAAGCTCTGCTGCCTGGCTGCCCCGATCAGAAGCATCTCCAGGAAAGCTGGACGGCTCCCGTTGATGCTAGCCCGCGGAGTGGTCCGGCTACCCTTGCTGCCCTTCTTCTGCAAGCGCCTCCCCGCTTTCGGCTGGCAAGGTCGGGGTGTCGGCGGGGGGGGCCGTCTGGGAGGAGGCCTCGGCGCCTCCCTCCGGCGAGCTCCTGAGAGCAGCGGCGACCTGACTGCTCTGGTCCGCGGCCGCGGGGCCCCCAGCGGCGGTCGGGCCGTTGGGGGGGGCACGCGGGAGCGCAGGCTGAGGCACGATAGGCCCGGGGGAGGCGCGCGCGGGGCGCGGAGGGGCAGCGGGAGAAGGAGGAGGAGGAGGAGGAGGAGGAGGAGGAGGAGGAGGAGGAGGAGGAGGAGGAGAGGAGGAGGAGGAGGAGGAGGGAGGAGGGGGAGGGGGAGGGGAGGGGAGGGGGGGAGGGGGGAGGAGGAGGAGGAGGAGGAGGAGGAGGAGGGAGGAGGGGAGGGAGGAGGAGGAGGAGGAGGAGGAGGAGGAGGAGGAGGAGGAGGAGGAGGAGGAGGAGGAGGAGGAGGAGGAGGAGGGGGAGGAGGGGGAGGGGGAGGAGGAGGAGGGAGGAGGAGGAGGAGGAGGAGGAGGAGGAGGAGGAGGAGGGGAGGGAGGAGGAGGAGGAGGAGGAGGAGGAGGAGGAGAGAGGGGGGGGGGGGGGAGCAGCGGAGAGCCACGCTCAGGCCGTGTAAGCCTTCGCGCGCGTGCCGGCGTGCAGCAGCGAGAGGTGGCGGCCCGATTCGCTCGGCCCTTCCCCGTGGCTCTCGGGTGCCCTCGGGGGTGCCCTGTGGAGGCGCGCTGGGCGCGAGCAGGAGAGCGCGAGGCTGCAGCGGCGGGCGCCGCAGGAGCCGCCGCCGCCGAGTTGGCTCGAGGTTCTGGGCAGCGAGGGTTCATGCGCTGTTGGTGAATGGGGCCCTGAGCGATGCTGCTGATATCCTGGCATCGCTCGGACATGTGTTTTTTTTTCTCGGCGCGGACCCTGGAGGAGCATCCTGGACCATCGAGCAAAAAAAACACGCACGAAACCGAAAAATGCACGGAAAATGGACGTCCGACCGACGGCAAGATATGGCCTTGGAGGCCAGCAAGCTCGGCAAGGTAGGTGCTCGAACAGGTGCCGCCTGGCGCCAAGGGCGACGCTGCCTGAGCAGCGGGGGGGAAGCCGTGTCTGGTGGTGCTTGAGGTCGCACAGGAGGCTCCTGCCTGGCCAGCTGTGGAACCCCCTTCTCTTCGGCGTCGTACTCCTCCACAGGCGTCTCGAGAGGGTTCGCTTGGATCCCGACCAACGTATCTGCATGACGATTCATCCGTTCACCCCTAATGCGGTCGTGTCGCGGCGGATTTAGAAGTCTGTGAGCTCGTCGTACTCGGGCATGGGGTCGATCCAAGTGTATCGAAATGACCACCGCCGCAATTCACACGAGGAGAAGAAGGAGGAGGAGGAGGAGGAGGAGGAGAGTTTTGCCTCTCCCTCCCCCCCCCCTGTCCCTTAGGACTGGGGGTTCCTGGGGCTGGCGTCCAAGAGCCCCGTGCGCGCCGCCTGCGTCGCTGCGGCCCGCAAGCTGGGCGTCACTCTACGGGAGCCGCGCTCGCCGCCGCCGCGGCAGTCGTCACCGTCAATGTCGTTCCTGTCGCCCTCGTTTTCGCTGCCGTCGTCCTCGGAGGGGGAGGAGGCGGGAAAAAAACAGTTGTGGGGACTTCCCAGGCCAGTTGTGGGGACTGAACGGACTCGCTTGCCTCACCACGAAGGAAGTGAGGCAGATTGAGTTCGACAACGCGTTGTTGTGCATTTTGGCCTCTTCCTTTCTCAAGCTTCTCCGTGCGTCATGGAACATCAGGCCCTTCGCCCTCCAACCTAGAGATCTCTTCCAGTTGGCAACTTCAGGGGATTCGTCGATTAGCGTCTGCGGCAGGCGCGCAGGGTGTGGACATCGATACGTTTCAGCTTGATTGCGTGATGTGGATTGTGGATTGACCAATGCTTCGGGGAGCAGCCGACTGGAAGTCCAGAAGAGTCTGACGTCGAGCTTGTGCGCGTGTCTCTCTGCAGGGGCTTTGTGAGCGGAGTGCGTGGACGACTGGCAGGGCCAAAGCTCATCCCCAGCCGCTTTGCCATCTGCTTGCCTCACCCATTGCTTATGATGCTTCGCGCGCCCTCCCTGTGTGTACGTTTGAGCAAGATGAGTGCTTCATTCGTGACTGGACCTTGTTCACGACATGGCCGCTGAGTCAGTCCGTCGACTTCCACATGGCCAGCGACAGCTCAGCTCACAGGGATGATGGATGACACCGCTGGGGGCGCCTTTTTTCGCGGTGGGCGCGGAGGGGGCTTTGGGTTGCGGGTCTCGGCCTCCCCTCCCGCCCTGCACGTGCATGCGTTTCACGCGTTGCATTGGTTCTCTGCTCCGCCCCATCCGAGTATGGGCTGCAAGCTTCTCCTGCCCTACCACCGACCGACCAACCGAGGAGGAGAAGGACGAGGGTCGACATGTGTTGGCGTGGACGAGGGGTTCTGGGGGGAAGCAGGCGACGCTGCCAGAGGACGAGGGTCTCTGCGAGTCCATCACCGCAGGTGCCGCCGATGTTGCGGAGCACCCCACCCTCATCGGCCGCGGGGCTCGAGCCCCAGCGGGCTTGCGGAATACCCCGAGAGCTTGGCGAGGCAATTTGCGTCTTCTCCAGAACCCGCTACGAGGCTACCGAGGCGACAATGACGACGAAGCCGACGACGACGACGACGACGACGACGCCGACGACGACGACGACGACGACGACGCCGACGACGACGACGACGACGACGACGACGACGACCCCTTCATCGACGGGCTTGCCCTCCACCGCGCCTGGATTGTCGCGGCGAGGGCAGGACTGGGCGGCGTTCGCGCTCGGTGGGCGGCTAGCGCGCGAGAGGCAGTGCCGGCTGGGCCCGGTCCCGCGGCCTGCGCCCTGATTGTCGGGGGTGGGGCATCGTGCGAAGCGCTGGCTCGTTCAGGTCCACGGCTCTCACCGCATGGGCGTGGAGGAGTTGCGGTAATTAGCCTGAGCGCGCCAGTGCAGGGCGGCCTGGGTGCAACCTCGGCAGCGGTCGACGGGCAAGGTTGGGGCAGGCGGCTCTGGCTCGAGCTCCTGGAGGCTCGGCCCCAGGCTCAGGCTCTGGCGCGGGCTCGGGCTCGGACTCGAGCTTTGGCTCGCGCTCGAGCTCGGGCTCCGGCTCCAGCTCCGGCTCCAGCTTCGGCCCCCTCCTGCAGCCGCGCCGGCGAATGCGCCAGGGGCAGCTGCAGCAGCGGACGGGGCGCCCGCGGGCGCCGGCCCTGCCGCGGCCGCGAGGCCGGCAGGCGGGGCAGGAGCCAGAGCGGCGGCAGCGGTGCCCCCTGGCCTGCGCTGTCGCGCCCGCGGCGCGGCGCCCACGGCCTCGACGAGGACGGCGCGCGGAGCACCCGCAGCGCGAGGCGGCGCGCGTTCGAGGGGCCCCAGGCGCGGCGAGGGCCGCACGGCGACGGCGGAGGAGCAGGCATTGGGCCGCGCGGGCCGAGGGCAGGGCCGCCCTGGCTGTCCCTGGGGCTGCCCCTGCGGGGCCGTGGCCCTCGGGGTGCGCAGGGGCAGCGGTGCCCCCCGAGGGCCGCGCGGCGCCGCGGCACGCACACCTCAGCAGCGCAGCTGCCTCAATGCGCACGTTTTGAAGCGCAACACGTTCCGTTTTCAAAACTCCCGTGTCAATACGTGACGTGTTGGCTCAGCGTATTGGCCCACGTTTGGGCGAACGTGCCGCTTCATACCCACGTTGTCAGTCTACGTGTTCTACGTGTTAAGTTCCGTGTCAATACGTGACGCGTTGCGTGTTGCGTATCGGGGCAGCTGAGCTCAGAAGTGATCGACCAAAGCGTTGTTTGGGTTATCTCGTGGATCGTTTTAGTTTGCTCTACGTTTTCGTGTTGCTCTCATTCTGGGCTCACCATTGGCCAATCACGCGTCCGGATCTACGCCACAAGGGTGTCCTGGGAGCACTCGGTCGGGCCGCTCTCCTCCTGCAGCGCCCCAGAGCGAGAACGAGAACGCAAGACTCCGTTTTGGTCGACCCCTGCACCTCAGTCGGGACCAGAGGTGGCGCCTGTCGACCGACGAGGCCGAAGCTCCTCCGAGGCACGCGGCAACGGCGCGCCGGCGGCGCGCCAGGGGCTGCCGGCGGCGCGGCCCTCAGGGCGAACGGGCGGCCGCGGCCCTCCCAGGTGTTAGAAAACAGCACGTGCGAGCGGCCTTCATCCGATGCTTCTGCGCGGTGCCAGGGACGCCACCTGCGCTTGGCACAGAAGACATACCGGCATCCGCGCATCGGCGGCGAGCGAGTGGGGGGGATTGAGAGGGAGAAGGCCCCTCTCAGAGGGCGGCGGAGCTTCTGAAGAGCCCTCTGTCCTTCTGGGAGGGCTCCCGCGTCTCCGGGGAAGGCGCAGCACATGCCCGAGAAGGCCATGGGACCTCCGAGCCTTCTTGGCGGGCCCGCCCCCAGGCTCGCCGCCGAGCGTAGGCTTGATTGTCCTCTCGATCGGCGGGCGGCCGAGCCTCAGGAGGGGAAAAACACACAGACACAATGAATCGTCGATTCCCCAGAAAGTATGGGAAAATATGGGAAGTGGGGGGAAGACAAAAACCCAGAAAATATGGGAAAAGATTGGGAATGCTTTTATTTGTGTGTATTTATTTGTGTGTCCTAGGGCCCCTTCAGAGCCCCCCCCCCCTCCCTCCCCGGACGTGCGCCTCGGCGGCGGCCCTTCAGGCGGCGGGCCGCGGGCGACGGGGCCGCCGGCGCGCCGTGCCCCCCGATCGCGGCGTTGTGCGGGTCGTGGTCATCATCGTCACCGCCATCCTCACCACCATCATCATCATCATCATCATCATCATCATCATCATCATCATCAGCAGCAGCAGCAGCAGCAGCAGCAGAAGCAACAGCATCCTCAGCATCTTCCTCATCATCATTATCATCAGTATCATCATCATCAGCAGCAGCAGCACTAGCAGCAGCAGCAGCAGTAGCATTATTGGCCTAATCTTAACCAGCATCATCATCATCATCATCATCATCATCATCATCATCATCACCATCATCATCGTCATCGACATCATTTAACATCATTGTAACCATCATCGACATCATCAGCATCAGCAGTAGAATCATCAGCATCATCAACATCATCAACGACATCATATTCACCATCATCGTCATCAGCAGCATCATCATCGGCATCATCTTTACCACCACCGCCACCACCATCATCGTCGTCATCGTCAGCATCATCAGCATCATTAGCATCACCATCACCATCGCCGTCATCATCAGCAGCAGCGTAATCATCATTATCATCATCCTCACCATCATCACCCTCATCATCACCATCAGCATCTGCATCATCGTTGTATTCATCAGCATCAGCATCGGCATCAGCGTCAGCAGCATCACAAACAGCATCATCATCATCTTCATCTTCATCATAATCATCGACTCCATCATCGCCATAAGTTTCGCCATCATCAGCGTCAGAATCAGCATCATCAGCATCAACAGCAGCATCATCATTACCATATTCAGCACCAGCATCATCATCAGCAGCAGCGTCATCATCGGCATCGTCGACACCATCATCATCGTCACCATGATCATCAGCACCATCATCATCAGCAGCAGCATCATCATCATCGTCGTCGTTGTTGCCATCGTCATCGTCATCATTATCATCCTCATCATCACCACCACCATCATCACCACCATCAGCATCATCATCATTACCATGATCATCATCATCAGCAGCATCGTCAGCATCTTCATCATCGTCACCATCATCAGTATCCCAATCATTGATTGTCCCGTGTTGCTCAGCCTGCGCCTCGTTCCTCCTCCCTCTTTTCTTCCTGGCCCATTTCCTACTCCTCCGGACCATCCGAAACAACATCATCATCATCATCATCATCATCATCATCATCATCATCATCATCATCATCAGCATCATCATCATCATCATCATCATCATCATCTTTCTCGCCTTCCTCTTCGTTCTTACTCGTGTTCTCTGTCGTCCTCCTCCTCCTCCTCGTCCTCGTCCTTCTCCTCGTCCTCAACGTCCTCCTCATCCTTCTCCTCCTCATCCTCCTCCAACTCCCCCTCCTCCTCATCGTCCTCCTCCTCCTCGTCCTCAACTTCCTTTTCCTCCTTCTCCTCCTCCTCCTTCTCCTCCTCCTCCTCCGCCTCCTCTCTCTCGCAGCGCTGCGGAAGCGATCCCTTGTGCCCCAGGGGGGTCCCTCGCGCGCTGCCGCGTGGCGCACCAACGCCCGGATGCGCAGCTTCCGTTTTGAGGAAGGAGAGGGGCACCCCTCCCTCCCTCCCTCCCCTCCCTCCCCTCCCTCCCTCCCCTCTCTGAGGGGCCCCATCCGACCAATCCCACAGCCCCGAGGCGGAAGAGGTCGAACGGGAGGGAGGAGAAGGGGTGGAGGGCGCTCGCGCCACCCACGCCGTGCGTGCCACTCGGGCTGATGTGCCCTGCATCTAACGTAGCACATGCCATACTCCTCCTCCCTTGCGCAACATACGGCGTGCCCCCGTGCGCAGCACAGCACATGTAGTACATGTGACTGTAGCGCGGAGGACGGCGCAGGGGGGTATGTGCCGTGTACCGGCGTACTGTGGCACATCGTAGAAGGCGAGACAGCAAATAAGACCAGCATCGTGATCGAAGACCTGTCGTACCTCATCCTCCTGCTCCTTCTCCTTCTCATTCTCCTCCTCCTCCTCCTTCTCCTCCTCCTCCTCCTCCTCCTCCTCCTCTCCACCTCTCCTTCCTCCTCCTCCTCTTCCTCCTCCTCTCCTCCTCCTCCTCCTCCTCCTCCTCCTCCTCCTCCTCCTCCTCCTCTTCCTCTCGTTCCTTATGTTCTCTTACTTTCGCTGTTCACCCCTTCCGTACTCCCCTCCACTTGGAGCGGGGAGAGGCGAAAGAGGTGAGTGCCCAGACCCCATCCTGGGGGAACCTGCAGACCCACTCCAAGCCCAGCGAGGCCCAGGACGGGCTCGTCCCGATCCACGTGCGAGGCACTTGGCCAGCGCACCAACATCAGGAGAGGAAAAAACACACAGACACAATCAACCGTCCACTCCCAGGAAAATATGGGAAAAGATGGGAAGTGGGGGGGAAGACAGAAACCCAGAAAATATGGGAAAATATGTGGAATTGTTTTATTGGTGTGTATTTATTTGTGTGTCCTGGGGCCCCTTCACAACACACGGGCACGAGCACAAAATTCAGCCGATTGGAACCGTATCCAGAATGTCAAAGTCGGCGCTTTAGTGGGAAATCGCTGGTGCCATTCAGCGCTGGGGCCACGGACTATCCCGAAACCTTGTGCCTTCCCCATTTTCGCCGCTCCGGGCGCGTCGACGTCGAGAGAATCTACGCCCGCGTGCAAGTGTTGATTCGGGGGCGAGGGTGTGGGCCAGAAGGAACAGGAGGGGGAAGACGACGAGGGCCGAGGAGGACGACGAGGAGGACGGGGATGCTAACATGTCGAGACCCCGTGCCAGAGGAAGGACCCGCCGCCCACCCCAGGACACTCGCCGGCCGACCCCGGTGCAGCTGCGCGCCCAGAGGGCTGCGGGCCGAGTGGCTTGGCATCGCTCGGACGTGTGCATTTTTCCTTCGACGAGGGCCATCGAGGAGCATCCTTGATCATTTGGCGAAAAAACCACGCACGAAACCGAAAAAAACACAGGGAATGGACGACCGAGCGATGGCCAGGTGGGGGGCAGCGCCTGGGGAGGGGCGTTGCCCCGCCCCTCGAGGCCTCTCGACGGCCTCTTGCCAGTCGCACGCAGCGTGGTGCCACGGCCTGCCACGGGGCGCCGTTTTCTGCGCTGGCGCCGCGCCGCCTCCGCCCCTGGAATTTGCTGCTTGACATCCGCGGCCAAAGACCCACACAGAATGGGCAGAAAATCCGGAGGAGAGCTGCACGACCACAGGGCCACCACCTCCTGCGAGGAGGCAGCCCTCGGGCCGAGCGGCACGCCCCTCGACATCAGTGCCCCTCGGACGAAGGGCCAGGGGCGCTTCTTGCGGGGGCGGGGGTTCGGGGAGTGCCCTCGCGGGGAGAGGCCCCCCGCCCGCAGCGCTGCCTCCTCCGCGCGGGGCCGCCCGCCGCCCGGCCCTCAGGAGAGCGGCCTCTGCGTCGTGGAGCTCGTGGAGACCGCCCGGGTGCCCATCGTGAAGTGCAGGTGGTGCGCAGAGGCGGGGGGGGCCGCGGCGTCGCAGGCGCCCGGCTCGCCGCGGGAGTTCGAGGTGGACGTCTCGTTTTGCAACGAGGCGGGCTAGCCCCACTGCTCTCTCTCTCTCTCTCTCTCTCTCTCTTTCTCTTCCCTCGCCGCCTTTCCTGCCCTTCGCTCTCCACCCTCTCCCGCCCCACCTGCTCCCCCCTCCCTCCAGGCTTCCAAGATGAGGTCGGAGCAGATGGGGTCATCGGATAGCGCCGCCTCGGCGATGCGGTGCAATCCTCCGACCCCATCTTCTCGGACCCCATCTAGGAAGCCTCTGCTCCCTCCCCCTCCCGCCCCCTGCGCAGTGCCCCTCTCATCGCTGCCGCCGCCGCCGCCAGATCTCGCCCCCGTCGCCCAGCATCGCCGCCGCCGCAAGCATCGCCGCCGCCGCCGCCGCCGCCGCCGCCGCCTCCTCCTCCTCTTCCGCCTCCTCCTCCTCTTCCTCCTCCTCCTCCTCCTCCTCCTCCTCCTCCTCCTCCTCCTCCTCCTCCTCCTCCTCCTCCTCCTTGGCAAGACCTGGGGTTGCGCACAGGAGGGCCCGGGAGGCAGCCCAGGCTTGTCTCACCAGGCGCTCAGGGTAGCCCATGGGGGCTTCAGCATCCCCGCGCCGCCGTTGGCAGCGCCGCCAGGGCGCTCCCAAAAGCCAAGGGCGGGAGCATGGGCATTGAGATCGCCCCGGGCTATACTTGGGGGCTTGTTGAGGTCAGCCTGGGCCATAGTTCGAAGGAGTTACTGCTGGTGCCGCCGAGGCTGTTCACAAGGACGAGGACGAGGAGGAGGAGCAGGAGCAGGAGCAGGAGAAAGAGCAGGATGCGGAGGAGGATGGGAGGGGCAAGGGGCAGAGCGGGGACGGCGACGACGACGGGGGCTCGGATGAGGTCAGCCTGGCCCACATTTTGGTGGGGGG